AAAATGAGGGAGAGGCCTTTAAGAAGTACTTTTAAAGATTTTTTCTAAAGCAAGTCAAAATCTTGGAGTGGTTATGAGTCATTGCAATGTATTTTTTGTTGGAGGTCTCCAACTTAGACCTTTAATGTGAGAGATAATACATTCTTATGCTAATCTTATTCATTAAGTAGAAGCATAAATAGTTAGTGATGAGGCCATCAACACTTATCAAAACTAATTTGAATACCCCTTTAAAAATATAAAAAATCATAACAAGAAATTTAGCAACTTTATCAACGAAAAAAGTAGTAGTCAAAATACCATATATGCCATTCTCATAAAATTTATCTTAATTTACCCAATCATACCGGCCATAAATCACATCCAATACTAACATTCTAATGTAGATCTAAAATTTTGAATACCTTAAGTGGCCAAAATTTATAAAATTCTAATTGTCAAAAATAAATATCAATATTATAACTTCCACCATTTAAGAAAGCAATTAAAAGAAAAATATTTTAGTGGAAGAAAGAGATTGAACATCTAATTTGCTAATAACATTTGAGTTATTATTTACAAGAATAACATATAGGTCATCTATCTTAAAATAGAGGATATCAGAAGATTCGTGGTAAAAAATTATCAAAAATATTGAATATGAAGGCCTTGATACTACAAGAATAACATATAGGTCTTTAAGATTTTATTTTATTTTATTCAAAACAATGATCTATAAATATATATAAATAATGTGTTTTTTTATGTGCATCATTTTTTTTTTAATTTTTCCAAACCAATTTCTTGACACTAACAATCAAATTAAATGAGCCTTATCTAATTGTACTATATGTGCCATTTATTACAATCAATAAAGAGAAAGGTTTTAAGTTCAACTTAAAAAAGAAAAAAACTTCCACAGCTTTTATAAACAGTTTTCTAGAAAAACATCCTTTTCTTATACTATGGATGAATCATATAGCTAATTTGTATGATCAAATAGTGAAAGGAATGCATAAAACTTTTGCCTCCTTTGAGTCCAAAAGTGTAATTATTTAATTACAAAAATTTATTAATTTTATGTATATATGATGCAATTCGTAAGCATAAAAGGTAAAGTTCACAATTAGCTCACCTTGTAAAGATATAGGCTTCGTTTGGGACGGCTTTCTTACTACTTCTTAAATCAATTTTCTACTACAAAAATTTAAAATTTTGTACTAAAAAGCTGCTTTAAGAAGCAGTAAAAAAAAACTGTCCCAATAGCTGTCTTACTGTTTTATAAAGCAGCTTCCAAGCATAAAAATTTTTAACAAAAATGTTGTTTTAGAAAACAATAAAAAAATTATACCAAAAGAATATATATATCCTATGCATAAATCATTCATAAATAATATTTTATAAAGGATGAAAATATTAAAAAATATTAGAGTTTTATTCATTATTCATCTAAATAGTAAAAATTATTTAATTTTGAGGTCAAGAAAATTGGTAATAAAAAAAAGGAAAAGAGAAGTGATTACGAATGGGTACACTATAAGTAAACATGCATTAGTTGTTAATTATGTTGTAATAGGGAAACCTATCAAATATTGTAGTTAGGATAAATTTGGATTAGAATATTCTGATCAAAATTTAATTTTAATAGATTTTATTATTAATGAATTTATTTTGGAATAAGTTAATTTAAACTTTAATTGATTAATCATGTATTATATGAATTTTAAAATAAAATTAATTATAATAAAACTTATTTTGAGCAAGTTATTATTAGGATTTTCTGATCCAATTATTTATTTATTTATTTCGATTAATTGCATTGAATGTCGTTATCTTAATAGCATTTTATTTATATTTTTTGTTGTAGTATTTACTTAAAAGATGCTTGGTTGAAGGAAATGGGAGAATTTTTTTATTTTACATTTTTTTAATTTCTTGTAGTATATTAATTGCCTCTCAAATAAATCAGAAAAAAATAATATAATTTTATAATTATTATAACTATTTTCTGTAATATTTAAACCTCTATAAATCTCTAAAATAATCATCACAAAAGCCTCAAATTTGATAGTAAAAACTAAAAAGAATGTCATTTGAGAGAAATCACAAATGATTTCATAATTTCCTTATTAAATTTAATCCATCAATCAGATAAATCATATGAAATTCACTAAATCAAAAAAAAAAAAAAAATTAGCCTATAAAACACCTTGCATAAATCTAAGGCTTCGTTTGGGATGACTTTTTTGTCGCTTCTGAAAGCAGTTTTTTAGTACTAGAAAGCTGTTTTATGAAGTAATAAGAAAGCCATCCCAAATGAAGCTTTAAAAAGAAAGGAGAGATAAAAATAAAAAAAGAGATGTAATAAAAAAAGGAGATATAATCAAAGGTAGGAGATAGAAATCTAACATTGGTAAACCCTTCCATTGGTGGTCACATGCCATTACCATATTAGAGAACCATAGGGAAGCTGTAGGATGACTAATAAAACAACTATTTTAAATATCTTATAAATACTCCTATGGTGCTATTGCCTATATTTTCTTTCAAAACTGTTTTTTGTTTTCATATTATTATTATTATTATTATTACAAAATCCTTCCAATATGAGATTCTAATCTCTCATTTTATTTATTTTGATTTAATCATTTATTTGATAAAAATAAGAATATTATACTCAAAAGTAATTAAGAAAAAAATTAAACGTGTTATTTAATTTGTTGGTAAAAAATGAGTTTGTGGGTTAAATATTAATCAAATCAACAAATTTGCTGTGAGATGAGAATTCTTTCCACCAAAGCCCTTACAAGTTACAAAATTGCTTCCATATGAGACAACAAAAAAGACAAAATAATTTTGACCACCTATTTATGCAAGCTTTGGATCTTATATGTTTACATAAAAAACAATTTTTTATTGCAAAGGAAAGCTATAAATTTATATTTCTGTCCAACAAAAAGCAGTTGCTGACCATTGAACAAATCAGTCTTCATTGCCAATTAGAAGAATCCATTAACAAATGTTTTGAAGGAAAAAAAAAACATCTTTTGAGCTAATGATCATTCAACATCAACAAATGAAAGCTTTAAAAATTACAAACAATAAATAATGAAATAAAATAATGTATTGGATGGCTAGTTCTTGAGTTTTCAATATATTGAACAACACATTTAGGCTTCGTTTGAGACGGCTTTCTTACTGCTTCTTAAAGCGGTTTTTTAGCACAAAAATTTTAACTTTTTAACTATAAAGCCGCTTTAAGAAGCAGGAAGAAAGCCGTCCCGAACAAAGCCTTAATTGTATCATATGGTGAGAATTAATTGTATACTGACATATTTAAATCGGGTCATGGGTTGGGTTCAGGTCCAACCCAGAATTGACATGACACTAGTCGACATGACCCGTTTTCAAAAACGGTACATTTTTTCGGAACCTAACTGATCAGTAAATCCGTCAAAATCGACAACGGCTTTCTTTAGGTTGCGCGTTTATTCAGCCAAATCCCATAAATCCGTCGACGGGAAGAGTTTCTTCCTTTTGCGAGCTTATTCAACCAAATATGTCGGTGACAGCTGCAACTGCGAGAGTTATGCCTGTGACGACAACCTACCACACGATTATTAAGCCAAATGCTCAAATCCCACTGCAGAAGCATGCACGGCAACCGGCAGTGGCGCAGCACCGAGACAGGCGGGTAGACACAGCAAGCGGGCAGACGCTAAGACCAGCATACGCGACAGGTGAACAGATATTGTGATGCCACTAGATGTGACACGCTGACGCGGTTAGTTCAGGCAAATGGGTCATTCCCAGGTTTCCAGGTCAACCCTAACCATACTCGATTTTTGAAATATGTCGGTTTATTGAACTTGAACCTGACCTATTTCACAAACGGGTTGAACCTAACCCGAAATTTTCGAATCGGGTTCGAGTTGAGTTTTTAGGTCGTATCAAATATTGACACCAGCACTGTCAAACATTACTACCCCTTTCAAATGGCAACAATCAAACTGTAGTCTTATGATTTGTTTGAGATAATTAGAGTTTTTATGAATGCGGTTATAAAATTATTGTGGGAAAAATAACTTTTTTGAAAGTTATTGTAGAAAGCAATTTCATAGCATAATTATTTCTTGTACGAAATGAAAAATTCAATCTCTAGAAAATTTGCAATCCACTAATGATGATACTGAATGTGTTTTGTTCTAATCGGATTTATGCTTGCACCCTTTGATGATCTCTATGTATATCAGAATGCAATGAATCGTTCTGAGCATAATTATAGAAATATTTTCTCTTTCTATATCTTATATATTTTTATAGTCTACTTTTATTCATTTGAGTGTATATTTTGAGCATTGCTAAATCTTTTTATAGCTCAACTTTCTTATTGCAAACTATGAAGAGTTTTAATATTTAGCTTTTATCTTTATAATTATTTTTTATAGTAATAAATTGGGCTTTGCCTCAGTTAAAAATAAAAATAAAAAACTTCACACGTGCACGAGCTCGTACGTGCCAAGGCGCGAACAGCACAACCATAGCCTACGAAGTTCCCGTTCCCAACTCCCGAAGTCAACTCCATGGGGAGCGGCAGTACACGGAAGTTTATGCGTACTTCTCGGCGTCGCATAGAAAAAACGAATGGAATTGCCGTTGTTCTATGCGACGTTGGCACAGCAAGTAAATAATAGGAAGGACAATGGCAATTGTGAAAGGAGGAGCACGAGGATCTCGTCGGCGCCATGCACTAGAAAATCGGCGAGGAGCCAAATCCACTCGTCGATAATCCCTTCGCCGACCAAAAAATCGGGTCCTAATTTTAGCTTAAGCCTGATCTTAATTGAACTTTAACTGTAGTTTAGTTTAACAAAAGGTGACTTCTCGCGAACACGTTTCAGTAAGCCATTTGCTGGGAAAGCTGCGCTGTGTTGTGGACTGCGTAGCATCACTCCGCTCGCAGCACTGCCACTACCGGGCTCAAAAAGAAAAGAAAACACTGATTTTTAGCTATATGATTTTTCTTTTTAAAGTTTCTTTTTTTTCTTTTCTTTTCACCTGTGACCGCTTTTATCTGAGGGGAGAAAGCAATGAACTACTCCGAGAAGCTCTCCTCTTTGAGAGAGAGAGGAGTAAGTGAGGGCGGATTACCCGTTCCTGTTTTTGTTCTTGTTTGAGGTAGCAAAATCAGCTTTGGAGGAGGATTTAATGCTTACGATTGCGATGGAATTTGAAAGATCTGGTTCGAGAGGGGATTTTTTCTAAAATTTCTCTTCTTTATGGGCGTAGGAGCTTTAACGGCGGAAAAAGCTGCGATCTTTCATGCTCATGGTTCTGAAATCTTAGTAGGAGGAGGATTTCCTTTCTCCCTTTTTGTTTGATAGGTATTAGGGTTTCTGCTTACGGGAAGGGGATTGAGCGAGGAAAACTGTAGAAAAGGAGATTGTTTGGGAACGCTTGTGAGAGCTAGACTCGTTGTTTCCCAGTGTAGCATACAGTCTGGGTTTGAAATTGGACTGAAAGGCCATTGGATGTGTGGAATCTCTCCCATTTCTTCAAATTAAGGGGGGCTGTTTCTGTTCTTCGCCCTCAGTTAGCCCCGATTACTACGGGAAAAAAGGTGAGAGATCTGGAAAATTTCTCCTTTCAATTTCGTTTTTGTGTTCCCCTTCTTTTTTTCTAAACAAGCCGGAAAGAAGGCCTTTACATCCTCTTTTTGTTACATTTTTCCATATAGAATTCAAGGCTTTTGTCATAGCTCTCATTATTTTGATATTTTGTTGCAGAAACCTGCTGTTCAACACAGTAACTGGCCGAGGAAAATGAAAGAGAATAATTTTATTACTGAAGAGGTGAAAACTCTTTCTCGTTCTTTTGGTATAGATGAAAAAAATCCCATTGTTATCTCTTAATTTTACTTTATGGAGGTCTAAATTCAGTACTTTTGGACACATTTACAGTTATATATGTGTATGTAGATATAAATAGTTGTAACTGTATGTTTTTGTGAATTTCTAAAGGAAGCAAAGAAGGACAGTGAGAAGTGCTTGGACGCCCAGCTGTGGCATGCTTGTGCTGGTGGAATGGTGCAGATGCCGTCAGTAAATTCTAAAGTATACTATTTCCCTCAGGGCCATGCTGAGCACGCCCAAAGTCCTGTGGACTTTGGCAATTCTCTGAGAATTTCCCCTCTGATTCTTTGCCGTGTCGTTTCTGTTAAATTCATGGCCGATTCAGTCACTGATGAGGTTTTTGCCAAAATAAGAATGATCCCTATGAGGAGTAATGAGCCAGATTACAGCGAAGAAGATGAACTTGTTTTAGGCAGCAATGGGTCGGATTTGCCAGAAAAACTTGAATCTTTTGCTAAGACTTTGACTCAATCTGATGCCAACAATGGTGGCGGATTCTCCGTTCCGAGATATTGTGCAGAGACTATATTTCCAAGATTGGATTACTCAGCTGACCCACCTGTCCAAACGGTGCTAGCTAAGGATGTTCATGGTAAGGTTTGGAAATTCAGGCATATCTATAGAGGAACACCTCGTCGACATCTTCTCACCACTGGTTGGAGCAATTTTGTCAATGAGAAAAAACTTGTGGCAGGTGATTCCATTGTATTCTTAAGAACGGAGAATGGTGATCTCTGTGTGGGGATCCGACGAGCAAAGAGAGGAATTGGAGGTGGGCCTGAGATGTCTGCAGGTTGGAATCAGCCTACAGGAACTTGTATGTATGGAGGATTCTCTGTTTTCTTGAGGGAGGATGAAAGCAAGTTTAACAGAGGCATGGGAAATGGAGGCCGGATCAATTCTGGTTCAAGCTTGAGGGGAAGAGGGAAAGTGAAAGCAGATTCTGTAATTGAGGCTGCGACATTTGCAGCCAGAGGGCAGCCATTTGAAGTTGTTTACTATCCTAGAGCGAGCACGCCGGAGTTTTGTGTGAAGGCATCAGCAGTGAGAGCTGCAATGAGAATTCAGTGGTGCTCTGGGATGAGGTTTAAGATGGCTTTTGAAACTGAGGACTCCTCAAGGATAAGTTGGTTTATGGGTACCATATCCGCTGTTCATGTCGCCGATCTTATGAGGTGGCCTGGATCACCATGGAGGCTTCTTCAGGTATGTTACTTGCATCATAAAACACCATTATTCATGTTCTTAACCTGCCTTATCTGTCAATTGATATATTTTCTTATTTGTTCTTTCTTAATGCTTTACTACCACTTGGACTATTGTTTCCTCTAGTTAGAGTAGACTTTTATCAACTTACTTTTGGTAAAGAACTAAATATTCTTTTATTTATTTTTTGTTAGAAGTAGCACTATTAGCAGATTATTCATATGCTAGTGCTATAGTTAAAATGCTAGTTAATTATTATTTTTTATTATTCAAAATGATCTTTTGACTCCAAAATGAATGAATTGTCTAATGTATCCTAAATTTAGGCTTCATTTGGGATGACTTTCTTAATGCCATTTAAAACTGTTTTTTAGTTTAAAAATTTATTCAATTAGAAATTTTTGTACTAAAAAACCGCTTTAGAAAGCAATAAGAAAACTATCTCAAATGAAGCCTTAATTTAGGAATCTAAATGTTTGAGACAATATAAGAAGCATTTCATTTTCTTTGTAATCAATTTTGTTTACTACACAAGGTTTATTTTGAACATTTTTTTATTGTTGTTTTAAACATTTTTCAAAGAAATTACATATTTTTTATGTATTCAATTATAACATGTTACTCTTATATGATTTGATATATTTGTGATGTTATTAATGGATGAACATCAAGCCTTTATCACTCTGGCTACATGAATCTTTTTTCTCCGTTATGTCCTATTAAAAGTCAAACACTAGGTCCCAAGCCTTAAATGAGAAAGTAGAAGGTTACGTTAGGTAGTTGATTTCCAGCGAAAAACTTATCGAATAATCATGACATGAGTTCTTTAATAATCATAACATGAATTATGTAATATATTGTGTAATATATGAATTCATTGATTATTAAATCTGAATTTTCATATTTCAGGCATTTATTATTTTCTGAAATGAGTGATGTTATTGATCGTTTAGCCATACTTAATCTCGAGTAAAGTATTCTTTTCCCATATCTCATTTGTGTACCAGAGTGAATATTCATGTAGATTTCTTGAGAAATATACTTAAGCTACTTTCAGATGTCATTTCTCATATCTCAAGTCAAGAAGCTATGACATTAAATTTGATATCTGGTTTTCTTGTAAATTGTTTTGCAGGTTTCATGGGATGAGCCTGATCTTTTACAAAATGTAAAGCGTGTGAGCCCATGGTTGGTAGAACTCGTCTCGAACTTGCCAGCCATCCACTTAGCACCGCCCTTCTCGCCTCCGAGAAAAAAAACTCGAATCCCTCAGCATCCTGAATTCTCTCTTGATGTTCAACTCTCAACCTCACCATTCCCAGAAAACACCCTCATTCCCAGCAGCAGCCCATTGTGTTGTCTTCCAGACAGCTCTCCTGCAGTTGGCATACAGGGACCCAGGCATAGTCAGTATGGCTCAAATCTACCAGGACTTCACTTTGAAAAGTTGCAGTCTGGCCTGTTCCATACTGGATTTCTTCGGCTCGATCGCTTTACGCCATCTCATAGAATCTCTACAGGCCTCATTGTTCCGAATTCGGCGGATCATGAAGATGTTTCCTGCTTGTTGACCATTGGGAATCCTTCTGTGTGTGTGAAAAAGGATTGTAACAAAGAATGCAATGCAATGACGCCCAAGTTTAGGCTGTTTGGAAAACCCATACTCACTGAACAACAGCTCTCTCTTAGCCCAAACAACTCTTCTAATATGAATTCTGACAAGACGACGAACTTATCGAACGGTTCTGGATCATCAATTCATCAAAACGGCATGGGGGATAATAATTCATCTTCTGAAGGGCTTCCTTGGTGCCGGGATCGAAAACTAAATGAGCTTGGTTTAGAGGTTGGTCACTGCAAGTTGTTCCTGGAATCTGAAGATGTAGGCCAGACCCTTGACCTATCTTCCTTTGGTTCATATGAGGATTTGTACAGAAGATTGGCTAACATGTTTGGAATAAAGAAATCAGAACTGAACAGCCGTGTTCTTTATCGTGATATCGCCGGTGTTGTCAAGCACACCGGCGATGAGCCTTTCGCGTAAGTTGCCATTTTAAAGCATAAGCTTTTTGTCACTTCATCTAAGGATGCAAACGAACCGAGCTTGTGCAAGCCCAAGTTCTACTCGGCTCATCACGCAGACGAGCTGAATTTGTTGTTTGTGTTTGGCTCGATAACTCAGCGAGCTGAATACAAGTTGTTTGTGAACATAAAATCTATCTAAAAGTCACAAATTATACATATTTGTGACTTGCAAGCAGATTTTATTGAGCCCCAACTTCATCTGCTGATCTTGCACTGCACCTTCCTCACACCTTACATTTACTGTTTGATTTCTTCTGTTAATGTGCAGTGATTTCATGAAGGGAGCAAGGAGGCTAACAATATTCATGGATTCGAGCAGCGACAACATTGGCAAGTTGTAGGAGAATTCTCTTTTCAAATTTGCAGGTTTGAAGGAACAGTCTCTCCAAAGTTCAGCTATTTTTTTCCATGTTAGTGAGAGACACCATAAATTCAAAGACCAGATAACTTGTTCTTCATAAGCATTTAATCTATCCTTTTGAACTGTCGAGAGCTTTGAATATGAACCTGCTATTTCTTTCTGCTGAATTACATTTCTGTAGCACGATCAATTGTTGCCTAGTTTATATGTCTAATTTAGTTGATTTCCCTTTGTAGCTTTTTCAAGCAAAACTTCAGTTCTTGATCAGTTTCTGCTATTTCTTTCTGTAGCGTGATCAATTTGTTGCTCAATTGATTAAGGCTTCTCCACACTTTAGATATCATGATATATATATATATATATATATATATATTATAATATAATATATAATAAAAAAAAGAAGGGAAATGTAAGGAATTTTCAAACAGATGTCGAAGACACGAGAATTTGACTTTTAATATGATACAATGAAGAAAAAGGATTCATGTAGCTGACCCCACATAGTGAGACAAAGGTTTCATGTTGTTGTTGTTGTTTTATTTTTAAAGAGTTGAGGGATCAAAACGATCTTTTAAAATAGTTGGGGAACATTTTGATCTTTTAAAAAATGTCATGGGACTATTTTGATCTTTTTTCTCAAATCAAAATGGTCCTCTGATCAAAGTAGTCCCTCGATATTTAAAAGTCACTTAATGATTAATTTGATCAAACTGTTACTTCTATATCGACAGAGATTATTTCATTCTTCAGAAAAAATTTGGGGATCAATTCGATCATTTTCTCTGCATTTTGTTTTGATTATTTAATTTGAAAAATGGTCTTCAATTCAATGTTGGTGTTGTTTTGCTCATCTTATTGTATGTCTGATAGTGTATGTCAACATCCAATCTGTCTGTTTTTTTTTTTTTTTTTTTTTTTTCTCTCAATTTATTTCATTTACTCTGACCTTTTCAAAGAGAATGTAGTGAGATAATTTCCTCCATAAATTATTATTGGACAAAAAGATCTATCAAACAACAAAGCTTCAAACTCTCTAAAATAGCAGAGACAAAAATTATAAATAATCAATTATTTATTAAGTAAAATGTCTCTATTCAATGGTTGATGTCAATTATTAATGATATTATTATTATTATTGTAAATAAGTAAAAGCTTTGCTGTCGTTGACATGATGCGGCTAATTGTGTCCTCACTTTTGAATTTTTTTTTTTTTTTTTGTTATTATTACAGCTAAGTCTTATTAATAGCGTTCATATCACTGTTTGTTTATGCTTTTGGTCAATCTTATAAAAATATTAGTAAAATTAAAGTTTTATTCAAGATAATTTTTTATTTTTTTTAAAGCAATTTTTTAACACAAATTTTTTTTTATATATATAAAAAGTTACTTTAGAAAATAGTAAGAAAGTTATCTCAAATAAAATCTAAGTAATATCTAATTAACAGTAATGAAAAAATATGAACTTTGTGCTATGTGAACTGCTTGATAGTAAAGAGGATAGAATGTTGAGGCTTTCCAAAGCTCTAGTTGACTGTTGTCAGATCACTATTGTTTAACCATCATCGTTAGACTATTGTCATCTGATCATCAATATCTGTAGAGCATCGTATGGCCAAAACTATTCAACCACCGCTATTAGAGCATAGCCATATAATCATCGCTATCAAACCATTGCCATCAAATATGGTCACTTGAGTAGCATTGTTCAACTACGACCTGTTGACTACTTTTGCTCAGATATGTCTCCTTGATTGTCATTACCCGACTTTCGTCCCCCCAATTGCTATCTCCCTACACCAATCATCCAACCGTTGTCACCCAACTACAATGGTCCAACCACAATTACTCGCTAACTATCATATACCTCCATCACCCAAATATAATCTTCTGATTAATGTCGCTCGACTACGATCCTCTAGCCACCTTTACTACTTACACTCTTCTAACCGCCATCATCGACTACGACCATTCAACCAGCTTCATGTGACTTTGTCCATCCAACCATCGTCACACAAATACGATCATCTAACAATCAACAATCATCGTTTGACTACAGTCCTTTTACCACCATTTCACAATCACAGCCCTTTGACCATTGTCACCCTACTACAGTCCTCCAACCACTATAATCCTTTGACTGCTATTATTGGACTACAGATTTTCAAGCACCACCACCCGACTACAATCTTCCAACCAGTATCGCACAACTGCAATCCTTCAACTGTTATCACCTCAGTACAATTTCTTGACACGTAATAATACTTTTTATAAAGTCAAATTATTTATATAAAAAAAAAATGTTAGAATTATTTCCAATGATTCAAGACTTTGATTGATACTTGGAGGAATAAACATTGCAGTGTTGCACGCAAGAGTTGGTGTGTTTGCATGTTATATAGTGACATACAGAATCTCTAAGGTTTGGCTGTCAATTCTTTAAATAATTAAAAAATAACTAAATAAATTCCAACTTTCCATCGCCTGCGCCGCAAGCGTGGGCTTTCTCATCATAAAATACTATGCCTCGGGATCCAAAAAAATTAAAAAAAAATCATTTATTAATTCTTTTATGTACGATAATAATAAATAAATGATTATTAAAAATAATACAATATGATTTTTTTTCTAAATATTTATTATACTGAACATATCTAAATATCTTAATTTATTTAATTATTGTATTATATATTTTTTATCAAATATTAATAATTTATTTTATATTAGTTGGTATTTGTTCTTGACTTCTGAATTGGCATGTGTATTATAGAGTGTAATATGAAACAAAGCAAGATTAGGTGTAAGGATCGGTCGGTCATTATAAAAAATTATAGTAGTAATTAAGTCAATGAAGCCGCTACGAAAAGCTTGAGTGCGGTGGAAGGTAAAGATATCAGAGGAGGTCTGAATAATATAGAGATGTGGTTGAGAGACGAGTGATGAGTCTGTATGTTGTAAAAAAAAATTTTTTGGTAGATGGAGTATGTTGGAGTATATTTTATTGTTATTATTTAATTTGATAGAGTAATCATATTATTGTCATGGTCTTGGAGATATATATGATGTTGGTTTGAGTAACATCATTGTTCTGAGGAGTTGGTGCAGATCATTATGGTGCTATTAATGTTCTGCAAATGACATATTTTTTTCGATAAATATGAGAATCTCACCGGTTGTGTTGAACAATGATGGAGGGATTTGGAACTCCTTGATTGTGCTATCCAACCAAGTCATTAAAAGATTTTTTTTTCTTCTTTATTTTTTGGCAAGAAGTCTATAGGGTGGGAATTATTATTATAATGTGTGTGGTGATTGATATGAGCATTGTCGGTGCTTGGGAGCAGCTAGTGTGTGAAATATTTGTATTGCAAGGATTGAAATGATCGTTAATGTGAATATAACAAATATCTTTTTTTTATGAGAAAATTTCTCCTAAGCAAAGATTTATTGAGAAAGGCCGCTCAAATGAACTAATAATGAGTTTTAATCATAATTTTTGGATGGTCATTTAATTAGAGTATTCTTTGTACTTATTTTTAATAGATGATAGAGATATCATCTTTTCAATATCAAATGTTGACCTGATGAAGGTTTTCGTAAGTTACACTTTCCCAATTTTTTATGATTTGAGTTGTTCCAAATAGTTGATGACGACAGGTACCAATGATGTCCTCGATTTGTAGGTGTGTCAAAATGGGTTTTCGAGTGGATTTAGGTCCAATCGAAACTCACCCACCTTCGATTAACCCGAACCAATTAGACAAACAGGTCAAAAGTTCAAACTCGGCGTGCCCCTAACCCTGGTTGATCCGACCCGACCAGCTAACATAACTTTTGTGGTCGCATGGCTACAAGCAAGCTAGAGCGAGGTCGCGGTTGTGAGGGAGAGCTGCAATGGGGCAAGACCTCGAATTTCGAGCCAGTGAGCGTGGGCGAGGGGTTAAGAGTGAGTACGGGTTTAGGGGGCGGGCGCGAGCGTGCACATGAGCACGAGGGAGATCGTGTGCAGGCTAACGCGACCTGGGTCAGTTCTTGGTTGACTTCGGGTTTTCGGTGTGACCCAAACACTTCCCAAATTTGCAAATATGTTAGGATTTGAAACTTGAACCCGATCCAATTTTCAAATGGGTTGACCCAAACCCGAAATATTCAAGTCCAATTTTCAGGTTGTGCCAAATATTGACACGTTACACGATTGCGAATTTGAGCATACATCATAGACAACGACATCACAAAACATCAAAAATTGAATTTTAATTGATATATTGGCAATAAGAATTACAAGAGGCTTAACTACCTCTCAAATGGCCTAAACAAAAATAGGAGACATTATCTCAATATTTCTTAAATGGATTACCACAAATCATTGAGATCATTGATTAATAATCAAATCAGCGAGCCAAAAAGATCTGAACATTCAATAATAAATTGCATAAAAATGAGTGCATGCGAGTACTATTGAGATGAAGTGGTGGGGTCGGTCTTCTGATTGAACTAAAAGACAGCTCTTTATGTGTGGTTCTTCTAGCCACTTGCTATGAAGAAGGTAGGTCAATTATGCCCGGTCTAGCTCATACAACATTGAATTAGATCAACCGTTTCTTGCTTTGAGATATCCAATCATCTAAAAATTTGATGTGACGCATTAATTTTCTAAGCTCATCTATTCGCTAATTCAAATTGAATTAAACTAAGGCTTCATTTGGAACAGCTTTCTTACTGCTTCTTAAACCAGCTTTTCAGTAAAAACTTAATTTTTTTGTATTTGAAAGCTACTTTAAGAAGCAGTAAGAAAGCCGTCCCAAACAAAGCCTAAGGCTTCGTTTGAGACGGCTTTCTTATTGCTTCTTATAGCATATTCTTCGTACAAAAAATTGCTTTAAGAATCGGTGAGAAAGCCGTCCCAAACGAAGCCTAAATCAAGCACCAATTAAGGTTTCATTTGGGGCGATTTTTTACGACATCTTAAAACGATTTTTTAGTAAATAAATAATTTTTTTGTTAAAAAAATTATTTTAAGAAATATTAAAAAAGTAATCCCAAACAAAACCTAAATCTTTACGAGTTAATACATAATTCACATTTTAAAAAAAATCATATATGTTAAAATAAGTTTTTTTCATGATCCTAATATTTTTCATAAAAAGTTGTTTTGTCCATACATGTAAATTTAATTTTGTTTTGATTAGTAAGGATGTATAGAATAATTGTTTAGAAAAAATAAATATTTACCAAAATATCTATAGGCTTCAGAGCTCTGCAATGACAGTCTTCATAGTTGCTGGTAAAAAGGACCAAATTCCAAGACA